CGAGCAAAGGGCCTATAATGCAGGTGAAGGCAGGGGATGCTACCCCTGTCATGAGGGAAGAAAATGCCACCCATGTCATGAGGGCAGGTCAGGCTATGCATGCCATGAGTAAGTGCTTAGTCCAGGATGATCAGATAATGGGGTTTCTCCAGAGCCTCTGACCTATTTCACGCTCTGGACAAAGGTGGATGGAAGGATACGGTATGCTGATGTAGCTGATCTACGACAATTGAATACATAACATACATGGTTTTCTTTCTAGTTACAATTGTGTTGTGACTGCATGTATCAGTACTGTATTTCATCCAATGAGAATAAAACGGATAAGGGTACCACCATACCCCTTGAAAACCCCGAATCAATCAACTTCGTAAAAATTGCTATGGGTAGGTGACCTTTCGGGTTACTAGATCGATGTAGTTGGATTGTCGTGAATCGCGACATTTTCAAACGGATGAACGCGGTTTTCGCCTCATGTATACCTAGGCCGTTCAAGTTTATCGAGGCGCGGGCTTTGCAACACGACAGATCAGAGAGTCCAGCGCGGGGGTGAGTGTGATTCATGGCTGCCGTGCAAGCCGGAGTGCCATGCATGCGTGTATTGACGGCTGCGGCATCGTTGGCACGACACTGAGACAAGCCACCGAGGTGGAAGGAAGATTCGGCATGGGTCCATGTTGACGCGTGTTACTGCTGTCAGAGGGACAGTTGCCGCTGCCACTTAGAAATGATTCCGATGGTATACAAAGCTAATTTTCGATGTCTTCTGTGGAAATGAGACAGCCGCTGCTGCCACTGGTCAGCACCCGAAAGACTGAGAATCCACCGCCAGCCATGGCAGCAGCATGCGTATCAGCGCTCGTTGTTCCGATGTGTCGAATTTGATAGGAACGATGGCTCGTATTTGTCACTTCAGTCTGAAACACCGCAGAACACCCCCCAAACACAGCGCGCAGTCACCATTTCTTGTATACGCCTCCCCCCCGGCTCATCGGCCTCCCCTGCCTCAACGTGTCGCGCTGCTACGAACTCGGTCGGACCGCGACACCGCCATGGCGACGACACGCGAGCCTCGTCGTGGCTGACCTTGACCGGTAAGGGTGGTAGGGTTTCATGATGGTGCGAGTAAGGATCGAGCGGAGTAGTGGGACGACCAGGAGGCTTGGAGTACCATCAGAGATTCAGGCTAGCAAGTCAGCTCGCCGCCAGCAAAAACGTCGTCAGGCAGACTCGATTGTATCAGTCACTTCCGAACTCAAATAATAATAATTACATGTTTCGCTTATTTGTGTCCCTCCGTACTCGAACAAGCGATGCGTCGTTGTAGCCTTGTGTAGGGCCAGGCAGACTTTAAGTCCATGGTTGTTACAGCGCCAATGGCTACTAGCTGTGGAAATGCGGTGCCAGAAGAGAGCATGCGTGCTCCCAAACTCACCGAGGCCTGTGCTGCTGAGAGTTCTCACGAGGTGAGCTTGGAGCCTTGAACAGTGCATCTAAGTTTTCTGGTCCGTCGCCTAGCTCTCTCTCCCTCTCTTTATCTCTTCCTCTCTCATCCGTCATACTTCTTCTCTTACACACCAGGGCGTGGACGTGGTTGATCTGCTGCCCGGCCCCATCTGGCACATCATTTTCGGCCTTCTGCTTGATCCGCCAGGCGGTTCCACTCTGCAGCAAAACAGGGCCGAGTCTTCGGAGAAAGAATCGTCACGGGAAGCAGTTAGAAACCTGTTTGACCTGGTCGGTTTGCTTCCCACAGAATTTTCTGCTCAATTACAGCAGGGAGAAGGCAGCGATTCGCCTGCCACTACCAGCCCGCTTTCAGCCAGACAGCAGCATGACAAGGACATAAAGCGTTACGGCCCCTCTTGGGCTTTGCTGCCCTGCGCCATGGCCAGCAAGAGGCTCCTCCACCACGTCGTCTCCTTCTCTGTGAGTGGTGCAGAGCGCTGGTTCCTCATTCCACCCACCTGCCTTCACATGTCCCCATCATGGTCCACCACTCATGCCTTCACCCCATGCTTCCCTTGTTCCACCGCACAACCAGAATCCATCTCATTGCATGGCAAGTTCTGCTTTGGATGCCAAACTCTGATTGCCAAGCTCCTCTGTCATCTGGCTGCTCGAATGAGCAGCAGAACTATATTGTTTCTTCTCTGTGTTCTCTGTTTCTCCTGCAGCAGGAGTGCGAGTTCATCTCGCTCACGTTCAACGATCAGGAACCCCAGTGGACACGATCGCTCTCTTGGTTCCTTAGATTGCCAGGTCTCACGACCCTTGACCTCTTCTTTCTCAACTTGACGGACCTCGAGAGCCTCGGGCAGCTTATAACATCCTCCGCTCACTCCCTCATAGCTTTGTGCCTAGCAATTCGAAATTCTTCTTATCAGAGTGTACCCATCCAATACAAGCTTATCAATCCAGCCTTTCTTGAGAGGTTTAGTCAGCTGCAGCGGCTGGAGCTGGGACGTGGGATGTGGCGTCTAGGGAGTTTGGATGCAGCATGGTTCACGGCTTTAAGGAATCTGACGATCAGGCATTGGGACTGGGACAAAAACGATGTTAAATTTCTGTCCTCCATCGCACCGCAGCTGCATGAGTTCTCTTTCTCCTCCTATGGTCATAGATATTGCAGCCTCCGACTCGAATTCTCTGTTGCTCGAGCTGTCAAAGTCAATTTCGGGCAGCACAGCCTTGCTGTTCACTTCTCTCTCCCTCCCACTCTCAAGATACTCTCTCTCAAAGCAGGAAATCTGGAGATCAACTGCGAGTGCTCCAGCCCTCTTTCTCTTGACTCTCTGACTCTGATTGCCCACAGGACGTTTGCTGTTTCTTCCCTCCCACCACTGGCTTCTGCCAAAGCAGTCTACTTGAATGGCCGGCACACCTCAAATTCACCTTCCTGGAATGTACCTCGCTTCAACCGACTGCTCAGCAGCATCGCGCCGACAGTGGAGACGCTTGTAGTGAGGCGTGGCTGGCCGCTAGAGAGTGTGGATGCGGAGTGGAGCCGCCTGCGCTGCCTTGGGATTGGCGTGAAGGGCAGGAGAAGCGGTGGTGGGGGCATGCTCACATTGCAGGAAATTGAACGTGCTCATTTCGAAAGGATGTTGTTCGGTGGGGAAGGAGAGGAAAACACCAGCAATGAGGATGAAGGCATCTTCCCCCTTATCATCAATGCTCCAAAACTGCACTCGATTTTCTTCGCCACGCAGCACTGGCAGCCCAGCAGCTTGCGTTCTCTGCGCAGGCAATTCCCTTCACTCACGTTCTACTGCATTGTTGGGCGGTCGTTTCGGTGGGAGGGGGAGGGGGAGAAGCGGAGCAATGGGCCTGCAGTGCAGGTGAGGGCATATTCCTCTGTACACACCATGAGCCAAGACATGATCCAAGATGCTCGGATTATGCAGTTTCTTCAAAGCCTCTGAGTGGATTCGCTCTTTTAGAGGAGAAGGAGAGGTCTGGCTGAGGTAGCGAGTGCGTGGAGCCGTGGTCTTGGTTGAGAGGTGCAGAGAAGGGAGCTGTACGCTGCTGGGATGTTGGGGCGATTCAATTGTGGGGAAGGTGTATGCTGGGACGAGGAAGCTTTCTGAGTGCTTATTGCAGTTGTGACAGTGGTCTGACCATAGGGTGGTGTGTGCCTGACATGATGGAGGAATTGGTGGGATATGTGTGAGTTGAGTAGTACCCTTAGATAAAGGCCAAGCATATTGCTGGGCTGGTGGGGCATTTTTCACTCCAGAGGAACGAGCTGAATGTGGTGGTTGTCAAGTTAGGGTACATTCCCCGCTGGACATGTCCCAATCGAAAGTGTCTCAATCGTTTCTACCGCACTGCATCGTATTACACCAAAATGCACCCTAGTTTCGAAATTTTCGCGTCTCTGGTTCAGTTCGGTTCGGAGCGGTACACTCGATTGGGACACATCGATTGGGACAGTGTCCACAGCGGAATGTACCGTAATCCCCCGTATATAAGACCCCCCCCAGTTGTAGACCCCCGGGTCTATAATACGGACCCGGGTACTCTATTCGAGTCTAGTTGAGTTATACCCCCCTAAATAGTTCCTAACATTATAAGACCCCCCCACATCCTAGAGAAGTGCGGATTTTACAAAATAAGGCAATTGAAAATGGTAACGAATTTCGAATTTCAAATGAGTCAACACCCATTTTCAATGTGTTTGACTTTCGAAGGCTTCACTTGTTGCGCGTCCAGTCAGGATGAGCTGGCACGCGGGCAAAGTGACGTGCCAAATCTCTGTGCACAGTCAGGGAAACGCCCTCGCGCGATTCTGATTCAGGACGCTGTAAAAGTTTGATTCGATTGAACTTACGAGACTGAAATGTACAACATCGTGCATTCTTATAAATGTCAATGTGAACAGACCCGGGTCTTCTAAAAAATATACCATTTAATTATACCCCCCAGCCTTTTAAGGGGTGATTATCATAATACCCTAGGGTCTTATATACGGGGGATTACGGGTACCCTTAGTTCATGCCTTCTTTTGTGTAATGAAAAGTTTGTTCGATTTTCGTCCCATTGTTGTCCCTCCCATTTTGTTATCATCGCTTTGTCGTCTGCCTACACTCAGACACCTACGGAAAATGAAGTGCAGTTTATAATGTTACGTGAAAACATTCTTTACATTACATCTAGACTAAAAAAAACAAGACTCGACGTTCAACGTCGTATGGGTTGCGTAGGTGCTGGAAACTCGATATGAGCTAACTGATCTCCATGTATGATCTCCCCATCTGTAATTGGTTTTTCTCATAACGCATATCCGTATGTGTGTTACAACTAACGACTAGACAAATGATTGTCTACCCAAACAGAAATATTATTTACAGAAAAATGATAGTAACAATAACATTACTACTGGATGTAATAATATGATGGTTTGTGTAATTACTTGTGGTGAGATAAGTGGTTCTAAAAATGTCTTTTTTTATTTTATACATTACATGAATGCAAAGGCATAGACACTCTTAACTGTTATGGTGAGGGGAGCGCTACAATAACCAGTATCGCAGATCCCCTCTGACGTAAAAAAAAAAAAAAAAAAAAAAGACTCGACGTTGACGTCGGAAGGGTTTTGTAGAGCTGTATTCCGTGTGTAAGGAACATTATGAAAGAGTACAATATCATCATATTTTGCTTAAAGAAGCAATTAATTAATTTCTTCATGTTAACTTAAAACGGGATAATGTATATGGTGCGTCGTTCTGCGCTGGCAGAAATTGTATCGTTCTGCGGTGGCAGAAATTGTCTTGTTCTGCGCTGGCAGAAATTTCATCTCTGCGCTGGCATCCGTCCCTTTCACAGCTGCCAACTCAATTTCTGCGCTCTTTTCTTGTTCTTGGTTCTTTTGTTCTGGTTCCTCTCGACTCGACAAGCACACCTGCTCTGCTCTTATTCCTCTTCCTTCCCCCCACCCCAATTTCTCGCCAGTTCTCCCACCCAGCCGTCGCTCTTGCTCCTATCCCGCCGTATCCTCTCCCTCACTACCCGCCTTCACCTCTCCTATTCACCTCACAGTCACTCAGCCCCACCCTGCGATCTCCTCTTCCTTACCTCCCCGCCGTCGCCTCTCCCTCCTCCCCGCCGTCGCCTCTCCCTCCTCCCCGCCGTCGCCTCTCCCTCCTCCCGGCCGTCGCCTCTCCCTCCTCCCCGCCGTCGCCTCTCCCTCCTCCCCGCCGTCGCCTCTCCCTCCTCCCCGCCGTCGCCTCTCCCTCCTCCCCGCCGTCGCCTCTCCCTCCTCCCCGCCGTCGCCTCTCCCTCCTCCCCGCCGTCGCCTCTCCCTCCTCCCCGCCGTCGCCTCTCCCTCCTCCCCGCCGTCGCCTCTCCCTCCTCCCCGCCGTCGCCTCTCCCTCCTCCCCGCCGTCGCCTCTCCCTCCTCCCCGCCGTCGCCTCTCCCTCCTCCCCGCCGTCGCCTCTCCCTCCTCCCCGCCGTCGCCTCTCCCTCCACCCGCCGTCGTCTCTCCCTCCTCCCCGCCGTCGCCTCTCCCTCCCATCCGCCGTCGCCGCTCCCTCCCTCCCGCCGTCGCTGCTCCCTCCTCCCCGCCGTCGCCTCTCCCTCCTCCCCGCCGTCGCCTCTCCCTCCTCTGATTTTGTTTTCTTGTGCAACTAATGCAAGTTGTATTCTCTTATTTTGTTCTTGTTTGTGCAGGGAGTGAGTTGCATTCGCTGATTTTCCTTTCCTGTGCAGGGAGTCCATGCTGCAGCCTTTGTTTCTTGCGGAGAAAAGGGATGGGGAGAAGGGAGATAAGGGAAATGAGGGAGGGAGGGAGGGAGGGAGGGGAACGGGGGACAAGATAGAGTTAATTACTTTATACAAGGCTGAAATTCATTCATTATGCTTGCATGCTTATTACAATAGCTGTATGTTTTGCGTTGTGTGTGTCTGTATATGTGTGAGCCTGTATGTGTGTGAGTGCGTACATGTGCATACATGTGTTGTGCGTGCTTCAGGGTGTGGTGCTAAGTGCCTCGTGAATGCAACTCGGATTGTGATCGTCGGTGGGGCAGCTTTGCTAGCCTCTTCCGTACCATATCAATCTCAGTTGCAGCACTGATGCATTTAGCATTCGCTTTGAAACATTCTAAAACGTTGTCTTCTGTTTTCGTAATCATTTATGTGTTATCGTCTGTGCTTGTTTCGGGGGTGTGGTGCTAAGTGTATCGTGTATGCAACTGGGATTGTGATCGTCGGTGGGGCAGCTTTGCTCGCCTCTTCCGTACCATATCAGTCTCAACACACAACTTTGCAACTACTGTACCGTATATGATGTGTGAGCTAGTTGGATGTCGTGGCACGCATGTGTTTTCACGTGACACTAGCTTCCAAATACAGTGTGTGCGTGTTTCTTTCTAGAAATTGCCAAGTGCCCATTCACCCTTGTGCTGATATTTCCAAGTACATACGTATTAAAAGTTTCTGTGCCTCGTTCTGCGCTGGCAGAAAATATCTCGCCAGCTCCACGACAGCCCCAACCAAGCCCAAGACACCCGTCCCTTAGACGCTCTTCATTTCTTGGTTCATGTTCTTGGTTCCTCTCGACAAGCACCTGCTTAGCTCACTCCTTTTCCTCCCCACCCCAAGTTCTTCTCTAGCTATCCCTCCTAACACCCCGCCGTCGCCAGTACAGCCCACCCAGCCGTCGCTCTCCCTCCCATCCCCCGTATCTCTCCCGGACTCCCCCCCGTCACCTCACCCTCCCACTCCGCCATCGCCTCTTCCTCCCACCTCACAATCACTCCGTCCCACCCCGCCATCTCCTCTCCCTTACCTCCCCGCCGTCGGCTCTCCCTTACCTCCCCGACGTCGCCTCTCCCTCCTCCCCGTCGTCGCCTCTCCCTCCTCCCCGCCGTCGCCTCTTCCTCCTCCTCGCCGTCGCCTCTTCCTCCTCCCCGCCGTCGCCTCTCCCTCCTCCCCGCCGTCGCCTCTTCCTCCTCCTCGCCGTCGCCTCTTCCTCCTCCCCGCCGTCGCCTCTTCCTCCTCCTCGCCGTCGCCTCTTCCTCCTCCCCGCCGTCGCCTCTTCCTCCTCCTCGCCGTCGCCTCTTCCTCCTCCCCGCCGTCGCCTCTTCCTCCTCCCCGCCTTCGCCTCTTCCTCCTCCCCGCCGTCGCTCTCCCTCCTCCCCGCCGCTCCTCCGGCAACAGGTGCCTGGAGCGCAATCGCGGGTTGGTGAGCGAGCGCGGGTTGTTTTCTCAGGCACCGTGGTTATCAGGTGCGTTCCCGGTCCTTTCATCCTCCCTCCCCCCTCTGAAATATCCTCTTTATCTTTTCTCTCTTCGTTTGAAGAAGGGGAGAGACGGAGCGCGAGGGAGAGCGTGTGCACGGGAGCGAACGCGCAGGAGAGAGCGTGTGAGAATGCGAGTGATAAAGGACGTGAGAGAGGGCGTTAGAGAGCGTGTGAGGGAGCGCGTGAGGGAGCGCGTGAGAGAGCGCGTGAGGGAGCGCGTGAGTGTGCGCGTGAGAGAGCGCGTGGGTGTGCGCGTGAGAGTGCGAGTGAGAGAGCGCGTGAGAGCGCGTGAGGGAGCGCGTGCAAGAGCGCTTGCGAGAGCGCGTGAGCGGGAGAGACCGCAGGAGAGTGCGCGTGAGAGTGCACGTGAGAATGTGCGTGAGAGTGCGCGTGAGAGTGCGCGTGAGGGAGTGCGTGAGAGAGTGCGTGAGAGAGCGCGTGAGAGAGCGCGTGAGAGAGCGCGTGAGAGAGCGCGAGAGAGCGCGCGAGAGAGCGCGTGAGAGAGCGCGTGAAAGAGCGCGTGAGGGCGCATGAGTGGGCGTGAGAGTGGGTGTGAGAGAGCGCGTGAGAGCGCGCTCGAGTGCGTGTGACAGTGCGCGTGAGAGAGCGCGTGAGAGGGTAAGATTGCGCGTGAGGGTGCGCGTGAGAGAGCGCGTGACAGTGCGCGTGAGAGGGCACGAGTGCGCGTGAGAGTGCGCATGAGAGGGTGAGAGTGCGTGTGAGAGTGCGCGTGAGAGTGCGCGTGAGAGAGCGCGTGAGAGCACGTGAGAGAGCGTGAGAGCACGCATGCGCGTGCGAGAGCGCGTGAGAGAGCACGTGAGAGTGCGCGTGAGAGTGCGCGTGAGAGAGCGCGTGAGAGAGCGCGGGAGAGAGCGCTTGAGAGACAGTGAGAGTGCGCGTGAGAGTGCGCATGGGAGCCGCGTGAGAGTGCGCGTTAGAGAACGCGTGAGAGCGCGTGAGAGAGCGCGTAAGTGGGCGTGTGAGAGAGCGCGTGAGAGAGAACGCAAGGGAGCGCGTGCGAGTGCGCATGGGAGACCCGTGAGAGTGCGCGTTAGAGAGTGTGTGAGGGTGCGCGTGAGGGTGCGCGTGAGAGAGCGCGTGAGAGTGCTCGTGAGAGAGCGCGTGAGAGCGCAAGAGAGAGCGCGTGAGAGAGCGTGAGAGAGCGCGTGAGAGTGCGCGTGAGAGAGAACGTGAAAGAGCGCGTGAAAGTGCGTGTGAGAGAGCGCGTGAGAGATGCGGGAGAGTGCGCGTGAGAGTGCGCGTGAGAGTGCGCATGAGATGTGAGAGTGCAAGTGAGAGTGCACGTGAGAGCGAGAGAGAGAGTGCGAGTGAGTGCACGTGACATAGTGCGTGAGAGAATGTGTGAGAGAGCGCATGAGAGAGCGCGTGAGAGAGCGCGAGGATGAGTGGGTATGCGTGTAACGGTGAGAGCGAGAATGCGTGCGAGTGTGTGTGCTAGGGTGAGTGCGAGAGTTTGTGCAAGAATGAGCGTGTAGATTTGTATGTTTGTTTCTGTGAGCGTGTGTGAGTGGGTGCAAGATTGAGTACAAGAGTGAGTGCGAACGTGAGGATGAAGCTGAACACAAGGGTGGCTGCAAGGGATTGCATCATTCTGGCATAGAATCTGTGGTGCCACGACTGATACCAAGTTCCATTGCTCGTCTTTGATTGAATTATACGTATACTATTGTTCTTATTTCATTTCTAGTGCATGTGTGAGCTGCATTCTCTGTTTTCTTGTGCAATGCTGTGAGGTGTACTCTTTGCTTTTGCTTTCTACAGATGAGTTGCGTTTCCTGCTTGACCTCCTCGCAGGGAACGTGAGTTACATTATATGTTTTAGTGCCTTCTTTACCTTCTCTGCTTTTGCCTTTTTCTTGTGCAGGGCGTGTAATTTGCATTCTCTGTTTTTGCTTTGTGCAGGGCGCGTGAGCTGCATTCTTTGATTTTGTTTGGCGGAGAACGGAGATGAGGGAGGGGTTGGGAGGGAAATGAGGGAGGGAGGGAAGGAGGGGTGTAGGGAGGGTAAAGAGGGGAGAGGCTAGCGATGATTTGTTAATGGTAACTGGATTCCATTCATGATGGTTGCGTGTATATTACCAGTACCTCTGTGCTTGTTTGCGTGTGTGCCAGTGTGTGCGTGTGTGTCAGTGCGTGTGTGGTTGTGATTATTTCAGGGTGTGGTGCTGGTATGCATCGTGTGTGCAGCTGAGGTTGTCATCGTCGTTGGGGCAGTGGGTTTTCACTGTCTCAACGACCCCATCAGTCTCAACTGCAGCATTGGTGCATATCAAGCATCTACTTTGACGTCTTCACAACTTTTTTCGTGACGTTGTGCATTTCGTGTTTGTGATGTGTGTGTTTCAAAGTGAGGTGTTACAATGCATCGTGTATGCAACTAGAGGTTGTCATCGTCGTTGGTGCAGCGTGTATTCGTTGTTTCAACGGCCCCATCAATCTCTATTGCTGCATTGATACATTGTTCCATTTCTTGAAGCATCCGCATCACACTTCATACCGTGTACATTCGTACAAGTGCATTCGCTCATGTTGATGCCATGTTCGATTGTACCATCCGCCGTATTAATTGACGAGCTGGGACGGTCGGAACACAATCATGGTTTCAACATGATACGTAATTGATTTCACTTTTAGGATATCTCATTCAAGAGTGGTTCTTATTCACTATTTGAGGCATTCTCTTGAACAGTGCCAAAAAGGTTGTTCAAGTGGGTGCTTCAAAGAGTGAAAAAAAAAACACTCGGAATGATATCCCCAAAAAGTGAAATCGATTATATAGGGTTGCTACGCAACCCAATAAAACACACAACTCAACAGTTCAAAGTTCCAAAACATTACGTGTGTTTCCAGATTTCGAGTGGACCCAACTAGAAGGGGGGGGTCACTATTTTGCCTACGGGCTTTAATGCGACGACAGCTACAACTGTCCGCCACTCAGGGGGAGGGAGGTCACGGTCAATCTCGACCGTCGAGGGCAAGGATCCGGCGGTGCCGAATCAGCGCCTGTTAATTTCATGGCCGCAAGGAGCAACTACCCATTTTCCTGGCATGCTAGCGCGCAGCTCCTGGACCCCACGGCATCCTTATGGCTACCTTACCCCGAGGGGTGTTACACTCAAAAAGGCAGGGTAAGCTAGGAAAGTAGCTATGATACCAAGTGTTATGAGTTGTACTAAACAGAGTGCGCGAAATAATCTAAGAGACTGTGATTTTGGAAGCTCCGAACACAATGAAGGGACGAGCATTTATAGGGCGAAACCGTGCGAGGCGAGGACCTCGGGACGTGCGAGGGTTGGGGTTTTCGCAATTGGCGCGGGGCGACTCGGAATGTAGTTGGGCCGAAGTGTAGGCCGAATTCAAACTGACGAAGGGCTGTCCTCGCTAAGGCCGGATGCATGGCTTTGGGACATCCCGGCTTTGGGACATCCCGAATTAATTTTACGAGCCGTGTTTTTGCCGACTCGAGCTCCGGGTCTTCCGCTTCGGGAGTTAGCGAGCTTCAGCGAACATTGCGGGGCGAAAATACTTTCTCCCTAGTATTTATATCGCGTAGCTTGAGTCAGGGCTGACGTTTCACTTTAGGGCTCCCTGATGCCAGTAAAAAAAAAAAAAAAAAAAAAAAAAAAAATGTATTATGAGTGGAAATTGTTCAGGAGATTGCCACCCTGTTGGCTCAGGGTTCAACAACTAGTCACTCTGATTTGTCAGGGTCGACAGCCTGAATTCAGGGTTGTGGTTCAAATCTCTGTTGGTTGATTACTGCAATGTACAGCATGTAAAACATTTCCTCCTACATTGTCTACTCTAGTGCACAGGCCTATCGATGTAGAACACTTCCTCCACATCCTCATCGTCCGAAAGGAAGGGGTTGTCCTCCTCCTCCTCCTCCTCCCCCACAAGCTCCTGATCGTCGCCCAGGGCCTGTTTCACGTCGCACTCCTCCTCCTCCTCCTCCTCCTCCTCCTCCTCCTCCTCCTCCTCCTCCTCCTCCTCCTCCTCCTCCTCCTCCTCCTCCTCCTCCTCCTCCTCCTCCCCGTCGTTTTGGCGGGCAGCTCCTGCTTCGACTTCACCCTCCTTTGCTTTCCCCCTCCTTTCACGCTCAGCCACATCAAGCTTCACGCTCTTTGCGGGGCGCCTCCTCCTCATAGACCTCCAGACCTCCAGGGCGTCCGGCCACTCGATGTCGTAATTCAGGAGCGAAATCTGCATCAGCTCCCCCAGCCGCGCGTTGCAGAGAGCGCCGCGCACCCAAGACTTGATCACATTTTGCCTCGAAAAACCTATCTCGCACTCCACAGTTGACAGGGGAAGCACCGCGATCGCCTGCCACAGGAGGACGAGGTTGGGCCACCTCCTGCCAGGCACATTGTCGGAGACGGAAGGGAAACAGAGTTACCACATGCACAAAATACATTCAACTCCAGCTTGGCATACCATGCTGTCACACTACAGGGACATACCTCTTCGAGTCTGCGCTCCCGAGAACATTGGTCAGTCCCTGCGTGAAGCTTTCCATCTCGTGGTGCACCTCCATGATCGCACAGAATGTGGGAAGCTCCCTCTCTGCGGCCTTGAGGTCGAATCCCGGCAGCTTGTGGCGGAAGAGTTTGCTGCATCCCAGAAGCCACTCACGGCACTTCTTCTCCCGTTGAGCCTTGATCTTCGGCCACTTTCAGGCCCGAAACAGCTTCGTCGGCCCCAGCTTCCCCAGGTCATCAAGCCGCTCGTTGAGATTGTCCACGCAATCGCGGGCGAAACTGCGGCACAGCTTCACGCACTCCTCGTATCCGCTCCCCACTTTGTGCCCCGGGAGCTTACGCTCGTGCATGGTGTACAGATGGTTGATTGGGCGTCCCTCCCCGTCCACGCCTCTCACACGAACCTTCTTGCCTCCACCATGCCCGTGCAGCTTCAGAAAGCCGACCAGCCCGCACTTGCCCTCGCCCCCAAACTGCTTGTCGGTATCCAAATACCGCTCCGTCAGATCCGCCGCGGTGGCCTCGATGGTATTGGAAATCTCCGTCACATCAATCTGTAACGGCACAGACATACAGGACATGTCAGGCTACAACCAACACACAAGAAAAAGTAGACAGTAGCAGAGGCGTCTTCGCGGAAGATTTAACAAACTCACATCACGCTTCTGGAAACAGCGGTTGAGGTCGTTCATGTCGGCGAGGATGTCGGCGAGGAAGAACAGGCAGAACTGAAACTTGTAGCACGTGACGATCTCGTACACCTTGTGACTCCTCTCCCAGAGAAGAACGATACACGCACCGAGCACCTTGCACAGCCGACGCACGACATCTCCGCGTGACAGCCAGCGAACCGTGTGGATCCCCTGGACTTCGAGGTTAGTGCTGTAGATCACACACTGCAGGTACTTGAAGCGTTGGCTCCAGACTGACGAATCTCCAAGTTTTGCCGCCACGGTGCGCACCACCTTGTCCACCATGCCCAGGTCGGGGTTGGACGTCGCCGCGTCCTTAACAGCCAGCGCCTCCCTGCAAAACTCATCGTAAATAATTGTTGATTAGCAAACATTCAAGCACAATGAACTGGATCAATAACTGGCACTACATCTTACCGGTGCGCGATGCAATGACAGTAAAAGAGATGCGGGACGTGCTCCCTGATCCGCGCCACCAATCCATTGTCCTTCCCCGTCATGACCGAAGCCCCGTCCGTACTGATTCCGACAAGCTTGGACACGTCGACGGCTGCAGAGCGCAGATGATTCATGAGCACCTCGAACAGGGACGCAGCATCACACTTCTCCACAGTCAGAAGGGTGAAGAACTCGGTGACGACTCGGCGGTCCTTGATGAAGGTCAGGTAAACAATCATGTGTTTACCACGCGTTCAGTCGGTGCTCTCGTCGCATTGCAGGCCCAGGAACGGTGAGGAGCTGATGTGGTCCATTTGCACATTCGTCAAGTACGTACTGAGGCAGTGAACCATCTGCTGGAAGTCGTACCTGCGCAGGGATGTATGTCAACTAGTTAGTCACCAGTGGAAAAGTAGATCATTGAACGCAATCAATACAGCAAGTTTGTAACTTAATTGTCCTACCGTGTGAGATAGACACCGTAAGACTGTCTCGGGATGTCGGGCGTGTCCTGCTCCGCGAGATGCCGCATCAGCCTAGGGTACATGCTTATCGGCGCATCGCACTTGCACAGAAACACAACCGACCGCAACAGTCGGACGGCACGCCTGCCCTCGACGTCTGAGTTGATGAAGTTCGAAATCACTTGCTGCCCCTCGCGGATGCCCCTCGCAATCTTCAGCTGCCGATCAACAGCCGCTTTGTGCGCGTCCGTGTGCTCGTGTGCATGAAACGCCTGCGTCTGCAGGTCACGGCCTCCGTCATCACCCTGCCTCGCGTACTCGTGTTCTCCTTCCCGTAGGCCATGCAGACGCTGCACTTCACATAGGGAAACCCCTCCTTGGTTTTCCCAAACACAAGCCAAGAGAACTGTCCCGACCACCTCGTGTCGTACATGATGCTGGCCTCCAGGTACATCTGCTCCCGCAGCTGCGCCTTGGTGAGGGCGGGCGAGCCGGTGTCCGCGCGGATCGGGAACACATCTTCCTCTGGCGGTGCGGCTTCATCAGGTGGTGGATCAGCCGGAGTGTTCGAAGCAGAAAGACGGCGGCCTCCGATGAGCAGGGTATGCTGCGCCCACTTCCCTGAACGCACTCTTTTCGGAGTGGAGGTAGCCGATGGAGGACCAACAGACACCCGCACGGTGCTTGGTGTGGGACTTGGCGCGGCCGGTTGGGGATCGTGGCTGCAAGAAGCAACAGCCGGGGGTAGGGTGAAGGCGGCCTCACGGGGAGACTCCTCAGGTGTGGGCGTATCTTTAACTGCAGAATCATCTACGGTAGACCTAGGTGGGTCAGGGGTTACTGGAGTAGCGGAACCTCTAAGAAAATCAAGCCCCGAGCAGCGGGCTTCAGAACGGTTCTCCGGCAAAGTTGCCTCCGTGGCTTTCGGCGGTAACGGTGGCTCATCTGAGCCAGCCTGAGGCGGATCTTCGTCAGCCTGCTGGCCTTCCATAGTGGGGAGAAGCTAGAGCTGGGGAGAGAGAGAAACGGAGAAATGAAATGAACAATGTGAACATAACAGCAGCACCAACAAGACCCTGGCTGTGGGAGGAGGGAAGCAAGAGATGGAGGGAGAAGGTGGGGTCAGCAAGAATCCACCGCGTCGCCACGAAATTGGTGGTGCGATGGTCGAAACATCGAGCCGTCATTGTATTCGGCCTTTCATGCAGGCCGAATACATTGAACGACTGCCTCACTGCCAGCGACAACTGCCACTATGTGTCTCCCGCCAATGAGGGACACGTATTGTGATGTGCGCGTTGCGCGTGGCAGTAAAAATGATGATTCTAGTTGCGCTGTCAAATTTGACAGCTGTGCTGAACATCGATGCTGTACAGTTGTGTTCTCTGTCGGTATTATGTCACTTGTGCGCGTGAAACGAATCCACCACATGGGTACGTGTGAAATCATAATTACCCACATGGGGGGGTATCTGGACGAAGCTTCTACGAAGCTTCGTCCCGATAACATCGCTTTCAGGGTCCACAGATCGCGTACTCTGTATTGACAGGGTCCTGGAAAACACTACACTGAGAGTGTACAGAGAATTTCAGGGTCCGCTAAACCAATACTCTGAATGGATCAGGGACCAAAATGTGAAAAACCTGACTTCACAGGGACCAGCAGGTGAGAAGGCTGAAATCACCCTGAAATCATGGTAATTACCCTGATAAAATCAGCCCTGGCTGGAGTGCGACGTTTCTGAATTTGTGACAAAAAGTACACTCAAGTTTTGTGCAACATTGCACATTTCAGCATCGTCCAAAATCGAAATCAGTCGCCTGTTTGCTTTGGAGATCACAACTTACAACGACGAGAGCTACGATTTCGAGTAGCCAGCTAAATATTTGTACGGAAACACCGTGAACAAGATTTTGGGATGACCCGAGGTGGTGCATTGCAGCTCGGTCTTCCCAAGATTTGGGATGACTCGAACACCGGATGTCCCGAAGCCAGGAATCCGCCCTAAGGGCAGACCACAGTAAGGAATGTAAATTCCTTACAATAGTTGTCTAGAGTTCAATAAGAATACACTGCGAGGCTAATACACTTTGATGGTCTTAGCAAGTCTATAATGTGCCGCACTCTGTGGGTGCTCACGGAGTTTGCTGTGTGGTGATGGTTGAGGTGATCATGTGGGGCCACGTGGCTTCCAATTACTCGGTTTGAGAAGATCAAAGATTTGAGTTTTGCTACAGTGGAGCGTCTCGAACAGACAAGACCTTGGGTCGCTCCGCACCACAAAACCTGCTGCTTGACCCCCTGTTTGGAAAATCGACCTGTGTGCTTTGACCCATCTTCACTCGAGGAGGGTGGATGAAATGGGAACCATATCTAGCCCGGCTGGACGAAAAAAACCCGAATTTGCAGGGTATCTGGGATAAAAAACTCGCTGGTTACAAAACTAAGTTCTTGGTCGGATCAGAGGAACTGTACAGTAAAACTTCCAAAGCTCCCTCTCCATAAATTTTCCCTCTCCTCCAAACAGTGTGTGCCGTTCTGGGACAGCAAGGTGAGCAACATTGCTCCACCGAACCAGATCTCGTTCACCTTTCTTACTCAGTGTCCATGAAGCATCCATTCTAAACGCTGACAACCGCTTCTTGCGGGGCTGCTGGTGGACTGTTGGAAAGGTATGGGTCGGTTCTCTGCTCTAGTTAGACGGCATGATAGTTACCATAAGCGATACTTCTACCATACGCGCATGGCTTTGGAATGCCATAGTTTGTAGGTGTCTGGTGCGTTGCGCACCGGTTGACCGCATTTGGCTTGTGTCAGTATTTTGACCTTGACCCTGATTGTGTTCATGCTTCTTTTTCCCCCGTAAAATGCTCCAGAAATGCTTGTCTCTGTCTCTTCGTTTGGCGTTCTGGAAATTCAAGTAACATTAACGTGCTCAGGCCAGAAAGGTTCACTCAGACATTTATGCAATTTCTGTGTCATCGCATTCGCTCCCAATCTCCCCGTGTCCTGGATCCATTAGGGTTGAAGAGCGACGCCAACATGGCGGAATCCGCGTCCAGACCGTCATCGTCGACGGCCGACGGCGCGTCTGTGTCGCATGCGCCGCCATCGCTCTCCATGCCCGCCGGTCGCGCCTCCTCCACCGCTTTCCCCTCCTCCGCCTCCACCTCCCGGCGCCGCTGCACGAGCACGGGCGCGGGCAACCTGTGGACGGACCTGGCGCTGCCATTCACGGCGTCGATCAACGACTTCGACGTGAACAACAAGGAGGAGGATGTGCACAAGATGGAGAAATGGCGCCGCTCCTCGCTTGTCCTCAACTCCGCCCGTCGATTCCGATACACTGCCGATCTCGAATCCAAGAGTCAGGTGCGATCGCTAATTGCTAGATCGGGTGTTGTGGTCAATTGTCGAGCTCCACCTCGTCGTTATCGCGCCCGCGCCCTTCCGCACTCTCGTCGTTGCGGCCTGTTTTGTGAACGGCTGGCTTGTCTTTTCAGCCATTGCGGAAGTTTCTGATCCACAACCCCTCGTGTCCGTGCAATGTTTCATCGTATTGCAGAATGCCTTGTCTCTCAGTCAGCTCCGCGTAGCCATTACCGCCGTCGAACGGTTTAAGCAAGGTAAGCCTCTCCGCTTTCGTTGTAAGCATTCACCGTACTTGCAGCATCCACGATCGAAGTTGACAGTTTTCATTATTTTTTTACTCTCCCGGAAAAGGACCACTGACAAACCACAATTACGCATTTGCGACGAGTTTCACTCAATGAGCATCGAGGTGCAAGCTGCACTGTATATTATTGCAATGAAGGTCGCATCGGCCTGGGATATATAGTTCGCTCTGCACTCGATTTTGCTCGCCAATTCTGTCCCCAATTACCGCTCGTCTCGTTCCTTCGCCTATCTTAAAGCCCCTCCCTCTCCTGCACGCGTCCCTCCTTCCGCCAGGCCTGCAAGCGGCGCAGGACTCGTCATTGCCAGTGGCGCAGGCGGAGGGCTTTTCGTACGGCACGGTGGCACTGCGGCAGCTGGTGGAGGGGGCGGACAGCAAGGCGCTGGAGCGGATGGGCGGCGTGCAGGGCGTGGCCAGGGGGCTGGGGACGGACCTGGTGGCGGGGCTGTCCGGTAGCAAGGACGACCTGGATCGGCGCGTGCGCGTGTACGGGTCCAACACGTACCCCGAGAAGCCCTTCAAGGGCTTCTTCAGCTTCGTCTGGGACGCCATGCAGGTGCGCTCGCCGCTGCCGCTGCCGCTGCCCCACGCTGCTGCGCTCCTCATAGCCATCTTCATTCTCGTGCATCACGCGCGCAACTCCTGTATCGTTCGCAACTCACATAGCAACTCGTGGCTCTCCCGCTCGTGCCCTTCCATGTGCGCGTGTGTCGACGCGTGCAGGACCTGACGCTGATGATCCTGGCCATCTGCGCCACGCTGTCGCTGGTCGTGGGCGTGGCCACGGAGGGCGTGGCGGAGGGGTGGTACGACGGCGCGGGCATCCTGCTCTCCATCCTCCTCGTCGTCTCCGTCACTGCCGTCAGCGACTACCGCCAGGCGTTGCAGGTACCCTCGCCTCCCCGCTCCCTACTCTTTGCGCCGTGTTTGGTCACCCACTTTCCGCCCCTTTCTGTCCCTCACTCCCCACAGCCCCTCCTCTACCTCCCACTCTCCTTCCCACCTCTATTCCAGCGTCAGCCATCACAGCGTCGGCTCCTTTTCCGTCTCCTCCCTTGTGTCTCGCGCTCTTCCTGCCCATCCCACTGTCGCCTGTGCGCACCTGTCCCGTAGTTTTCGGAGCTGGACCGCGAGAAGAAGAAGGTGTCGATGGACGTGGTGCGCGGCGGGCAGCGCACGCGCATGTCCATCTACGACATCGTCGTGGGCGACGTCATCATGCTCGCCACTGGCGACGTCGTGCCTGCCGACGGGCTCTTCATCTCAGGTGCGCCGCTGCTCACCCGCCGTTGCCGAATGCCCCTTCCACTCTGTGCTTGCATGTTGTGATGGTTACGTGTGGGTGCCTTATCCCACTCACGCACGTTAACGCATTGTTTGTTCTCTTGGTCTGGTATGCTGGCCTCTCTTCCTCCCGTCTGTGGCGCATGGTGCATTGTGCGTGGGTCCATGGGTGCGCGAGTGGGCGTGTACTTGGTGCGTGGGTGCGTGGTTGCGTGTCTTGCCTCACGGCTGCATGGTGCGTGGTGCATGGTGCATGGTGCGGGGTGCATGGCTGCATGGTGCATGGTGCATGGTGCGGGGTGCATGGCTGCATGGTGCGTGGTGCATGGTGCGTGGTGCGGGGTGCATGGCTGCATGGTGCGTGGTGCATGGTGCGTGGTGCGGGGTGCATGGTGCATGGTGCGTGGTGCGTGGTGCATGGTGCGTGGTGCATGGTGCGTGGTGCATGGTGCGTGGTGCATGGTGCGTGGTGCATGGGTGCGTGGTGCATGGGTGCGTGGTGCATGCATCAGGGTACAGCCTGGTGATAGACGAGTCGAGCATGACGGGCGAGAGCCTGCCGTTGCAGAAGAACAGCGAGGCGCCGTTCCTGCTGTCGGGCACCAAGGTGCAGGACGGCAACGCGAGCATGCTGGCGGTGGGCGTGGGCATGAACACGGAGTGGGGCAGCCTCATGGCCAAGCTCACTGACGCCGGGGACGACGAGACGCCGCTGCAGGTCAGACCTGCACCCCGCCCTTGTGGACGGACTGGGGGGAAATGGGGACACTGGGTAGGAGGAAGGGGGGTTGGTAGGGGAGGGAGGGAGGATATACGGAGAGGGAGTAGTGGGAAGTACATGCATGCTTCTCAACCCCACCACCCCCCCCCCTCCGCTCTCTGTCAATCCTTCTCCCGCTCAAGCCTTCCACCGTTCCTACGCTCCTCCGCTCACTCCTGTGTCCCGGCACAGCCCAGCACCGTACCACGGTGACCTGACCTGGAACCCCCTTGTGTGCCCGTCGGATGACCCCCCTGTGGTGGAACAGGTGAAGCTGAACGGAGTGGCGACGCTGGTGGGGCGGCTGGGGCTGGTGGTGGCGGTGCTGGTGTTCATCGTGCTCATGGGCCGCCAGCTCGCCAACACTGACTTGGCCAAGTGGGGCATGCCTGACACACTCAAGGTCAACCCCCTCCTGCCATGCCTGCCACCTCTCCACCCTTGCCTCGCACACTCGCTGCTTGTTATGCCCCTCTCCCTCCTTCGCTCCCCATCTCTAATCCACTCCCTCCCCCCCGCCCACCCCCCCTTCCCTTCCCCCTCGTCTTCTCCAGTTATCCGTTTGTTCTGTTTTGTTTTTATGTACAATTCGCATGAGCTGGATAGAGCAACGAGTGAATGTACACTCACCTGGTTCTGTGTTCTATGCGTGTTTATGGTGTGAGGTGGAGGGGAGGGAGGGGGCGGAGGTGGGGGCGTATGCGTGTGCGGGGTGTATGCGTGTGAGTATCCATCCGGGATGATGTACATTCACCTTCTCATGGGAGGGTGAGGAGGGAGTGGTGGAGGGTGGGAGGGCAAGTCTGCCATGTGTGAATGCGTGTGGGAGGGAGGGGGATGTGGGTGTCATGTCACGTGTGTGTGAGTGCATGGTGTGGGTGCATGCATCAGGTGGTGGACAACTTTGCAGTGGCTGTCACCATCATCGTGGTCGCCGTGCCCGAGGGCCTGCCTCTGGCGGTGACGCTGTCGCTGGCGTTCGCCATGAAGCGCATGATGAGTGACAAGGCACTGGTGCGCAAGCTGGCGGCGTGTGAGACCATGGGCTCTGCCACCACCATCTGCAGTGACAAGACCGGCACGCTCACCGCCAACCAGATGACCGTCGTGCAGGCCTGGCTGCAGGGCACCGTCGTTGCCACCCTCACCAACTCCCCTCAGGTTCGTTCCACTGCTCTCTTCCTGTCATTCCCGAACCCTCTTGTCCCCTCTCTCCTCCCTTTCCTTCCTCCACCCCCCTCAGACCACTGCAGTCTGCACTGCAATAAGAGCGCCGCTGATGCCGTGCTCCCACTCCCCCTCTCTACTCTCCCCCCGGCACCCCCCCTCTGTGTCGTGGCAGGGGAGCCTGTCCCCAGCGTACACGTCGGTGCTGCTGCAGTCCATCTTCACCAACACCACTGGCGAGGTGCAGCACGGCTCCCATGTCGTGGGCTCGCCCACTGAGGTCGCGCTGCTCAACCTGGGGCTGCGTCTGGGCGGCAGCTATGAGCAGGAGCGAGCGGGGCGTGCAGGTGGTGCGAGTGGACCCGTTCAACAGCAAGCGCAAGCGCATGGCGGTGGTGATCAAGCTGCCTGACGGCACGCACCGCGTGCACTGGAAGGGCGCCGCTGAGATCATTCTTGGCATGTGTGACACGTCCATTGGCAAGGACGGCGCGGCGGTGCCCCTGTCGCACAGCGAGCTGGACGCCACAATCCTGAGCTTCGCCAACAGCGCCCTGCGCACGCTCTCCGTGGCCTACCGCGACCTCAAGCCCTCGGAGGTGCCTGCCAATGGCGTGTGGACGGATGAAACGCCCGTGCCTGACAGTGGGCTCACGCTGCTGGGTGTGGTGGGCATCAAGGACCCTCTCAGGGCGGGCGTGGCAGAAGCAGTGCGCCTGTGCAAGTCCGCAGGCATCAAGGTCAGCACCCACTGCTGTCTCGCTGTAGCACCTGCACGCATCTCTCCTGCTCCGTGTCTTGAAATCACTTCCCCAGCTGTGCCCCGGTCTGTTACTGCTTTTTCTTGCTTTTTTTTTTTGTTTTGATGTTGGTTAGTGCGTGTTTTTTGTTTCCCTCAAATCCTGATGTTTCAATATTGGACGGCCATGGCCATTCCCTCCCTTGTTGCTGCGTTGTCCTCCCAATGTACTGCTGGGTATGTGCTGTGAGATGCCGCACCTGGACCATGTGTGCGTGTGGAGCATGTGTGGGCGTGGGTTATGTGTGCGCTGGTTATGTGTGGGCGTGTGGTACGTGTGGGCTGGGGTCGTGTGTGTGCGTGCATGTGGGTGGCATGGCACCAGGTGCGCATGGTGACGGGGGACAACCTGAACACGGGCATGGCCATCGCTCGTGAGTGCGGCATCCTCACGGAGGGTGGCGAGGCCATCGAGGGCCCCAAGTTCCGCACGCTCACTCGCGACCAGATGAAGGAGCTGCTGCCCCGCTTGCAGGTCCGCGCCCTACCCCCATCAGCCCTGATCCCGTGTGCCACGCCTCTCATCCTCCACTTTCTATCCCCACATGCTATGCTTCCTGCCCTCCTCTTCCCCACATGCTATGCTTCCTGCCCTCCTCTTCCCACCGCGTCGCATCCCATCACCATCTTTGTGCTTCCTTCTCCCCCATCCCTCTGCCCCCTTGCCTCTCCGTACCCCACATCCCCGACCACCACGTGTGTGTGTGTGTGTGTGTGTGTGGGTGTGTGTGTGTGTGTGTGTGTGTGTGTGTGTGTGTGTGTGGGTGCAGGTGATGGCACGGTCGTCCCCCACGGACAAGCACACGATGGTGAACTGCCTGAGGGAGATGGGCGAGGTGGTGGCGGTCACGGGCGACGGCACCAACGATGCGCCCGCGCTCAAGGAGGCTGACATTGGGCTCGCCATGGGCATTGCCGGCACTGAGGTCAGCACCCTCTCACACTCTCAAGTGTGAAGGGTCAAGGGGCTGTCGGCAGGGGCACCTTCTTTATCTCCTTGGCCCACCTCTTCCCACCTCTCCCCACCTCTCCCCACCTCGCCCCACCTCGACCATTCCACCCTCCCCCTTCCCCAATCCCCACCCCCAACCCTCTTCTTTTTTCTTTTTTTCTTTTTGCAAGAGCAAGTGTGTAAGTATGAAATTTTGCATCTCCTATTTTTCATTATGTATAACATCTGAACTTCCTGAGCACTATGTGCACGTTAATGCATTTGCTGTGGCCGAGATGTATTTCATGTTACCAAATTGGGAAGATCACTCCGCTTCCCTTTCCTTGCCGTACGCACGTGCACTGGCGGCGAGAGCAGGTGGCGAAGGAGAGTGCGGATGTGATCATCATGGACGACAACTTCTCCTCCATTGTCAATGTGGCCAAGTGGGGGCGCAGTGTGTACACCAACATCCAGAAGTTTGTGCAGTTCCAGCTCACTGTCAACATCGTTGCTCTCGTCACCAACTTTGTTTCAGCATGCATCACAGGTCAGCATGCTCACCGAAACTTGGCAATTATCCTGTCTTTTCCCTTTCCCAATCTCCACTGCACTCATCCATCTAAGCCGCGCTTACATTTCCACATGCTTGCTGTATCTCCTGCCCCCTCTCGGATGCTGGTTTTCGGTCCAATATTCATGTCATGAGAACGTTTGTGGCTTTGTAATCATCCATCTCTCCCTTGCTCTGCTGCTCCCCCTTCCCATTTCTCCCTCTCTCGCCATGCTCCCATGCGTGAGTGCAGGGTCGGCCCCCCTGACAGCGGTGCAGCTGCTGTGGGTGAACCTCATCATGGACACGCTGGGAGCGCTGGCCCTTGCCACCGAGCCGCCCACCGACTCCCTCATGCTCAAGCCCCCTGTGGGCCGCCGCACGCCCTTCATCAGCAGCATCATGTGGCGCAACATCGCTGGCCAGTCGGTGTTCCAGCTGGCGCTGATGGCAGCGCTGCAGATGTATGGCGACAAGATGTTTGGGTTCACTGCCGTGGACAAGGAGGGTGTGCTGCGCCTCAACACCATCATCTTCAACACCTTTGTCCTTCTGCCAGGTTGGCCCGCCACATGCACACCCACATGCTAATACACTGCCGCATCACATCCCAGTCTCAGATGCTTCTTTTGCGTGGCTCCTCCGCCTGGGTGCATGCCAGCTAAGCTCGTGCTTGTTCCATTGCGCGCGTGCCTTGCGCCCGCCATGCTGTGTCGTGAGCAGGTGTTCAACGAGATCAACTCGCGCAACATGGAGGCACTGGATGTGTTTTCGGGCATCCTGTCCAACTATGTCTTTGTGGCCATCATGCCTCGTCACCGTCTTCTTCCAGGCCGTGCTCGTGCAGGTCCTTGGCAAGCTTGCCTCCACTGTGCCGCTCTCACTGCACGACTGGCTGCTCTGTGTGGGGCTGGGCGCCATTGCCTGCCCGTGGCAGCCGTGGTGAAGCTCATCCCTGTGCCGGCTCGCACTGCTTCTGGTGCGGCTGCAGAGCCATCAGATTCCCTCAGGGAGCCGCTTATTGCCAATGGAGCAGAGAGGGTCTGAGCGTTTTGAGTGATGAAAGGCACGTGGGAAGGGTGGTAGGGTGGAGTGGGATGTGGTGGGACTTGGTGAGGCAGTGTTGGACGTATGCTGATGTCGTCAGTAAGAATGGAGTTGCTGAATCAATTAGGTGGTGGGTACTAAAATGTCCAGATATTTTTGCTAGGCCCTCGGGTACTACTGGAGTGTGGGTAGGTACGTATTGAACTCACCGAGTTTGGAGAAACAATGGTCAGGTAGATGAAATCTGACGGTATTTTGTTTCCTTACCGGTATTGTGGTAATGCATTGCAAACAACCCAAACTCGTGTGGGCAACAGGACCTGAAAAATAATGGGTGTGTTTTTTACCTGCAATCAACCACTTGCAACCCCCAATGTGAATAAACACCTAGATTCACCACCCATTCTTCATGGGTTTAGGTCCTGTTGCCCACCCTCGATTCGCATTTGTACTTTGTACGTGTATTCATTAGTCTAGGTTGGGTTGCACTATAGAGGGTGCAGGTTTACTAGATATGCCCCCTCTAGATGCCCGTATTCACCATTTCATTTTGTTCTTGACATGTTATGACGCTAGGTTAGGTCCCTCGCTTTCCGCCCATCCTACCCCCCTAGCTGCTCCTCGTACCCTCACGGTCCCTCGCGCACCCCCTCTTAGCGCCCCCCGCTTAGTGGCCCCCGTCACGGCCCGTCCGTCGCACCCCGCGCCCTACATGCCGTGCGCCTTGCCGTCACGCCTGCCGCGCGCCTCCGCTGGCGTGCCCTGCCGTCGCACTTGCAGCGCGCCCTTGCCGTCGCGCTCGCCCTCCCCCCCCCCCCCCCCCCCCCCCCCCCACCCACCCCCCCTCATCCCCCCCCCCCAGATGCGCTTGCCACCACGCCTGCCGCCGTGCATGCAGCTGCTGCACGCCGCCGTGCCTGCAGCTCCTGCCCTACTAGGGTTTAAGCTCTGCCTTACTGGCCTCTGTCTGTCAGTCTCCTCCGCTAGTGGCTGTCCCCTTCTCATCCGCTGCAAGCTGTGCCCCTGCTCACTCCTGTCATGGCGTCTAAGTTCGTACTGAGGCTCGATTCAGAGGGGCGGGCGATTGACTCTAACGCATGGGTGCTCAACGTCTAGCTCCACCTGCAAAGCCAGCGCCAGGACGGCGTCTACCCATGACGCCCACGTGTCAGGTGAGCTATTTGCTCCCCATCGTCCTCCTGCCCTTACTGTTGAGCCCACCTCAGCGGAGCAGGAGGCTCACCGCGTATTACCCGACTTGCGTTCTCCATTTAGGTGCCATGTAACGACCGCTCTTAGGGCGTATTCCTATCCTCCTATCAATAAAACCTCCTATCAAGCTCTCACTTGGAAAATTCCCTAAACCCAAAATCTCTCGCTACTTTTACCAGGCAAAAGGTACAATCTTGATAGGAGGTTTCTTGATAGGAGGCCGTAGGGAATACGCCCTTAGTCGCCTCCTGCCCGCTGACCGAGCGAAGTGCACTTTTGGCAGGTCGCCACGGCGAAGGAGAGTGTGTATGCTATTGTTGCTCGCTACTCGACCCCCTCCTCGCTTGACGCCAGCTTCTGCTCTGCTTGCACTATTGACGACCTAGCTACGCCCACCTCTCCTCATGTATCTCACCCTGCACTTCGTATTGACCCCGCCTTCCTACCGCATCACGCCTACCCGCGACGCCTTCCTCGTCATGCACCCCATAGATCTCACTATCAATCTCTTTTAGATTCGTCTCACTGAGATCGAGACTTGCCTTCGCACCATCGCCTCCACCATTGCTGCGACAGTCCCCCCCTGTTACAATCCCACAAGGGACTTAGCTAGGATCTACCCAGGGTGTCAAGATAGCAAGCAGGAATGGTTGCATTGAATGAATTGTGGGTACAAGTACTAACCCTAATCTTGGGTTGTACCCCACATGGGCTACCCCACTATAGCCTACACACAACTAGCACAGATATGGTTTGACACACCCCCATAGGCAAAGTGGGGGAGAACAAGGGGTCACAAGACCAGTCAGGAAAAGCAATGCAAGCTCAGGGTGGATAACAACGTCACCACACACTCCGAGCACAAGCAAAGGAGCCACAAGGCCAGTTCACATGCAGAGGTATACATGCAACAACAACAGTACATTGATCACTACCTAGCAAGAGTAAACATGCAGGTATATATATATAGATCACAGTACAACCAGAGTCTACAGCAAGTGAGGAAACGTAGGCACCAGGCCTAGCAGCAGTGCAGAAGCGCTGATGATCACCAGCCGGAAGGGCCTTGGTGAACACATCAGCCGTGTTCGCCCGGGTGGGCACGTGGGCGACACGAAGCTGACCACGCTGCTGCAACTCTCGAGCAAGGAAGTAACGCAGAGCGATGTGCTTCGTTCTGTGCTCCAGTCTGTGGTCCAGACACAAGGCAATGGCAGCCTTGTTATCGACGTACAGAACTGGAGGAGAACGAGGCCTCTCTCCCAAGTCGGTCAGCAGGTAGGTGAGCCAGCGTAGCTCCTGTGCAGCCATGGCTTTGGCGTAGATCTCAGCCTCACAACTGGAGCTGAGAACAGAAGACGAGCGTGTAGACCGCCAAGAAACAGAGCCAGAGCCAAGGCTGAACGTGTAACCCTGTGACGACCGCTACGTAGCCAGGTCGTCAGCCCAAGAAGCGTCTGAGTGCCCAGTGAGGACAACTGGGCTCCGCCCTCCAAGCACGAGCCCCATGCCCGATGTACTGCACAAGTAGCGCAGTACCCTCTTCGCAGCATCCATGTGCACTTTCGGTGCCTACCAGGAGCCACGTAGCGTGCCAGAAGGCCAAGAGGGTACGCAAGGTCAGGACAAGTGCAGGTCATCAGGTACATGAGGCAGCCCACTAGCTCTGGGTACGGGCCACTTGGCTCTACGGACTCGTCCGAAGGTGGAGCTGAGAGAGAGTGACCGTAGCCAGAGGAGGGACTGTGGCGAGGACCAAGTGAAGCCGAAGCGCTGAAGGACCTGCTGCACCATGTGTGACTGAGTCAGTGTGATGGTGCGCCGTGCTCTGTCCCGGGTGATCTGCAGGCCAAGGTAGCTGCGCAGCTCACCCAGATCTGTGCACGTGTGTCTCTTCTGCAGCTCCGACTTCACAAGGGCGAGAGCCTCAGTGTCAGCAGTGTCAAAGACCAAGTCGTCGACGTACACGAGGATGTAGAACGGCGGCAGCGAAGTGTCGGTGCGCAGAAACAGCGACGGGTCAGCAGTGGAAGGTGCAAACCCAAGAGCCGCAGTGTCGTCCTCAGTGTGTCGGCCACTCACGAGGCGCCTGACGGAGACCGTAGACTGGCCGGCGGAGGCTCCACTGGGTACCAGGAGGGAACGACCCAGTGAAGCCAGGTGGGCGGCGCAGCTAGATCTCCTCGTGCAGACTGCCCTGTAAGAACGCTGTGCTGAAGTCCAGAGAGTGAAGCTCGTAGTCACGCTGAGCGCAACTGCAGCAGCACCCGAAGAGTGGTCATCTTCGGGGTGGGGGAGAAGTTCTGGAAGAAGTCAACTCCCTCTCGCTGACTGAAGCCTCGTGCAACGTAACGAGCCTTGAAGACAGGCGGAGAACCCAGCGGCCGCTTCACCCTGAAAATCCACATGCCATCGACTACGTTCGCCCCAGGAGGGGGAACTGCGTCGACGTAAGTGCCTGTGGACTTCCAGGATGCCATCTCTGCGTCCATTGGCTGTCTGCCACTGAGAGGAGTACTCACCC